TGTAATTTACGGAAAATGTACTCAAAGAGTTGGGCCTTAATTTCGTGTTGAACATACATGCATTGTTCAAAATAATTAACTTTTGTTCGTTAATACTACAGTACTGGTATAATTAGATAATGTATATTTAATGCATTAAATTTTGGGGATTAAAGGGTTTCGTTTCTTTTTAATTTAATTCGACAAGAATTTAATTATTTTATTTCACTTTCACAAGAAAAGGCCGAGAATGTACAAGAAATAATTAAGGAATTTTGCAGAGAGGAACATGGTCGTGTATAAGATGGAAAGACATTTCAATTGTTACGTCATTAAAAAGGTCTCCTCATTATTTAGAATTTTTGGGGGCATGGAATGAATTACACTCCTCCCAAAATAATAATAGTCCCTAAAAAAACACTATGTATAAAATTAATGTGAGTATCAGACTTTCATTGAAACATACTGTATTTAAACAAATAATAGGTAAATACAAAACTATGAAGATATAATACTCATCACAATATAAGCAAATGCAGTATGGTATGGACGATTAACTTGTAGAGTATTCGAACATGTAGACGGTGTATATCGACACAATTTATACCTTCTCCTCACTTGCCAAATATTTCCCAAAGTTATACAAACGGCACAACCATAAACTATTTAAGAAATAATGTTGTTTGGAATGTGATCATTCTCTCAGATGACGATAAATAAAATGAATCTGCACGAATGTAAAAACACCGCTATCAATAATTCAATCAAGTATATCACTCTCAACATCCGTAAAAAGAGAGACAAGTGCACATGCAGTATGGTGCGATTGTCAGCCAGTTCAATATCATCTTTCCTCCTACAGGCGGATGACGTCAATAACGAGATGCACACTGTCGTGTATTATATTTATAAAAATAGATAAAATTACTAGAAAAACGAAAGAGAGTTGCATTTCTATGCCAATACACGTATGTACTTTGACTTTGTTAGAGTCGCGTTAGTGACATCACCACAAATACTTAAGCACATTATTCACACAAAACTGGGCCAAATAATCTGCAAATATTTGACAGATTGGCAAGCAACCGCATCATCGGGAGCCAGCTTAACCATCGAAATATTTCACAATCTTCAAATTTAGAAATTAGATATACAGAACAACATAATATTCTAACGGTAAGTTAATCTACCATATAAGACATCGCTAGCAAAATTTCAGACTGGCTCAGATTATTTGTTTTATTTTTTTTATGTGCCTAAATCGCTAATGCTATGACCGTGAAGTCACTGCTCCATACGGGAGTCATATGTGTGACACTATGTGTACATGTGTGATACTATACGCTCAAATTTCCCAGTAGAGTTGTGTCACAGTGGCAGCATATAATTTTAGGCAAATGATGTCCATTAGCGCACAATTATGGGAGACCTCCAGCATGTATTATTTGTTTTTAGTCTTCTTTTTTGAAGTCATTAATATTTTCAGCCAGATACATATTTAACTGTATTACACTTCTTGGATACATGTACTCACAGTACATTGTCCTTTGCCTCCTTCAGGTATACCTGCACAAACGTGAGTTATGCGACTGGTTGGGCCTGTCTCTGCATGCAATGTCTCGCATTGTGAATCCGAATAAACGGTAATATTTACTTCTTGAAGAGTATCCTGCTCAGTACCATGGTTACTCTGAAAAAAGTAAATATTTTACATTCATATGTGTTATATATGATATATGTAAATACTTTTGAGTAACCTGGTATATATGTTGTACTATTTCTGTCAGCGAGCCATTGCTTTTTGCTCTTCTTTTTGTTTGTAAAGAGCTGATACAAAATCTCGATGTACGGCTTTAGACAGACATTCCTTTGTATAAAATTAGCAAATAAACATTTAAAAATAAATGCGTTATAATTTATTACAATATGGTAATAATTTTATTAAATATTGACTATTCCTGGAAAATATCTCGTGTATTTTAAACATTAATACTGTTTTAATCTCTCCATTAAATGGATCCCATAAAAATCCAACACGTTTAAATTTTATTCGAAGCAATATATGTAATTTCGGTGGTAGTTACTACATTTGGAACTTAATGGCAACTAAGACCATTTTTATAGCAGAAAAATTAGAGAAGTATTGTTGGAAATTCTTTAAGGGGAAATTTCCAACATATTTAACTCAGGGAGGCTTGAAACACGAATGTATTATAATCTGTATGGATTATAATGTAATCATGTAAATACGCTTTTGACAACGTCGATTATTTAAAAACTGTTATCCTTTTTCTTAATTTTAATTTATATACAATTTTTTATAATGTGGAAAAATAAAAATGATTTTATGATGTGGAAGTAAAAAGATCTCTTTGTAGCAGTAAATTTTTTTACGTGATCAAACTTTGTCAAAAGTGAAAGAAAGAATGTAGGATGTTTCTGTGAATGATAATACCCTAAAACACAAGTAAAAACATGTGAGAACTAATAACAGAATATACGTATTTTTGAAAGTTTACCATCACGAACACCATCGATGGATATCTGGGAAACCGCTCGAAGGATTTTTTTGAAATTGTGACGGTGTGATACGGACCGTGTGGCCTACCAAGCTAAAATATTTTCAAGGTCATCGTACTTACGGTTATACCGGAAGTCGATACTAACTTTCTTATTTTAAATGGAACCCCCTGTATATTATTGCATTTTTGGAAAGAGCATCCATTTCTAAGTTGAAAACATATAGCACACTCCATACTTGACCGTTTCCGAGATATTTATATTTTTAAGTAAAAATTGACAGATGCAGACTGTCAGCAAAATTTAGTTTTTCCAGAAACATAAGTTTATTTTTTTGTGAAAATTGGACATTTTATAGAGGAAGACTTAATTTATCGAATTTGACGTGAAAATTTTCCAGTTTTTATACAGGGTGGTCAAACAAAATTTGCGAACATAAGTTTAGAAAATGTTTTTTAACGTATTCGCATTCTGCATTAATTCGATAATTTTTTTGACCACCCTGTATAAAAACTGGAAAATTTTCATGTCAAATTCGATAAATTAGGTCTTCCTCTACAAAATGTATAATTTGTACAGAAAAATAAATCTATGTTTCCGGGAAAACTAAATTTTGGTTTATCTGATTTGGAATTGACGAACAAATATTCATAAAAAAAATTAATATAAGCTTATTAATATGAACAAAATCCTCAAAAGAAGTGATAACTAGTTTGGATACCCAAGAGACGAGATATTAATAAAATAATTTTTCACGATTTAGTACAGTCTTATGAGAATGCAGATTTTTTTGGTCTTTCCACATAGAATGCGCAACAATTGACGAACAGTTTCCACAGCAACTTGTATAAATAGGAAACCGATATCTAAGGAACCGTATGACAGCTTGTAGAAATCGATTAGGTACTTGTAAGATACATAATTTATAATAATTCTCCTTCAAACTGCTGTCGTTGACTAACTTATCCTCCATATGCGTGATAGCGGCAACGCGGCGGTCTCGACGTAGCGTATTATTTGAAATTCGCAGGTGTCCAAACAAACAGAATGATCGAACGAGAGCGAGCGAACGCCGAGCCGAGCGCGCCAGCCAAGTACAACGTTGTCAAATCTAAAGGCTGACTACTTTAGTCACTAGCGAATCTATAGAAACTTTCGTTAGACTTTAGACGTACCTCCGTACCCGATAAACCTCCTTAAAAATGAAAATATCTCGGAAACGGTCAATCCTAAGTATGGAGTATGTTTTTAACTTAAAAATGGATGCTCTGTCCAAAAATGCAATAATAAGTATATAGAGGGTTCCATTTAAAATAAGAAAGTTAGTATCGACTTCCGTTATAACCGGAAGTGCGATGACCTTGAAAATATTTTAGGCCCCACGGTCCGTATCACACCGTCACAATTTCAAAACAATCCTTCTAGCGGTTTCCCAGATATCCAGTCTAGGGCTAAGTTAATAAAATAATTTCTAGCTTACCATATACGGATGATCTTTAATATCTGCATCTGTCCCATTTACAATTCGAGGATCAACATCCGTAGAAACAGCTAAGGAACAGTTTATTAAACGAAAAGACAACATTAAAGAAAACTTACCCTGGCAAGTCCTAATATATGCAATGGCTATAACTGCTAGTAAGACGAACATTGTGATTCAATTAAATTAAATTTTTTTAGACATATTTTATCTTTCATACTGAAATTTAATCTTTGCCAACTCTGGCAATTATATTCTAATGTTGAAAATTGATAACATCATCGGTTTAACTGAATAATCTACTTATCCATCAAAATTTAAATAACTAATTCAATACGCTTAACGTATAACAAGGTGCAGTGCTAGAAATGAATGAGCCTATTCCCTATCTAAATTTAAGAATATTTTACTATACGATCTAGTAGAAAAATATATAATACATTTAAACAAGCGTACCTAAATATAAAAGTCAACTACGACATTTCTCTTCTATCTCTCTGAATTTTAAAGGCGTAGAGCCCATTACTATATGTTTTCTAATTTTGCTTCTTGAATCCAGTTATATACCCAACTGTCCTTGACTATCTCTACCTTAAAAGTTAGTCTAAATCCAAATATTTGATGAATTAGAGAAATTTGGTGATTAAACGGTTTTTACTCGAGTGTCAACAGTTTTAAAACCCAGTCTAAGCTTTGCAACCCAGATTATCATATAGAATATAACTTATAAGAAATGATAAATATATAAGTTTAATAAGCTCCAAATTGTGAAGTTGTTATATACAAGCTTCAAAGAGTTATTGTAATGCTGAAAAACCGTAAAATAACATCAAAATTATAGTCAAAAGTAACGTGTATTAGCGGGACATCTGAATGATTATTATTCAAAGTTAAGGTAAGATAAGTTCGTGTACACACCAGAAAAAGTTAGAGATGAAACCCACAAAACTGTCTTTAAAAAGATTTGCCTCTTTATTATCATGACTACTGTCGTATTTTTTTTTCTAAATAAAACCGCCAGTAAATAAAAATCTTCAGAATCATTTATCATAATTTTAACAACCGCTATTATACTTTTAAATTACAGTTTATCCAATCTATGTATGTTGAAACTTTGACAAAAACACCTGGATATCCTTCAAGGGTACATGGCTTCTTTGACCAAGAAACGATTCCAATTTGTATTCCACCAACGACTAGAGGACCTCCAGAATCACCCTGAAATAAAGAAATAAATAAAATAGAACTCTTTAACTACTTACGTTTGATTCCCAAATTTTAGGTAGACTTAAAGATGGGAATAGAGGACTTCACCACTAGTTTTTTTTATGAATATGTTTTTTTATTTTAATTGGTATAACGTATTAGAAAAATTTGTAGGCAAATCATGCCACCTCTGATTTACGGCATATTTATAGTAAGTATCTACATAAAAAATACGTACTTTCAATTTTTATTGAAAACGGTGCAGATTGTTGCCAAATACGGAATAGTTACCCCTTGCCTCTTCGACATTGTGACAAGAAAAAATATTTCCCCGTAAAAATATTACCTACAACTGATCATGTGAAGATCATTGCCCAGTTGCATTTATATCTAGGCAATAATTTTTAAATTACGTATTAAAAATTAATGGCATTTTTAGCAGTGCACTTTCATCACCCTATAACACTTTTACCACAAAATTTTGGACTCACATTTGAAGAAACAATTTTTTAAGAACATTTTTTTTCCATTTTAAATTGGCATTGTGTTTTAGACACCGTGTATGTATACTCACATTGCATTGTCCCTTGCCTCCTTCAGGTACTCCTGCACAAATGTGGAATATGCGACTGGTTGGACCAGTTTCTAAATGTAACATTTCACATTCCAGGTCTGAATAAACCCTGATATCCACTTTCTGAAGAGTTTCCTGTGGAGATCCACCAGTCTAAAAAATAACACATATTGAAGAAAACCGGAAAAAAGTGGATACTAACCGGATCTATTCAAGTGCGATTTTCTTGTCACAGCATGCACTTTTATGGAAAAATAGTGGCAGACACCGCAGACTAGCAGTATGACGGTAATTTGAAATCCAGCGTGGGAGAATTTCTCATAAAACTCGAAAACTGCTGTAAAACAGTATAAAATAAGTAAAAACTAAAAAAAATGTCTGCCGCTTGCCAAATAAGTTCCATAATGACAGCACAAACGTTACATACTGCTGGCAGACATTTCCCCCGCACCCTTCCCCTCAAAACCACCCCAAAAGGGGTAACATGGTTCGTTTGCTAGTGGGCGTGCATTACATTGACAAACATTGACATTGACATTACAGTGGGGGAAATAGAGACGATAATATCCACAAGAAAATCCTGTTTTTAATTCACGTAATGAACATGTTTATTGTGATGAAAATCCACATGCAATCAGTAAAAGACGGTTCCAACATGAATTTAAGATTAATGTTTGGGCTGGTATTATTGGTAGTATTTTAATTGTTCCTGTTATATTACCTGTTACATTAAACGCAGAAAATTATTTAGAATTTCTCCAAACGAGATTACCCTATCTGCCTGAAGAGTTACCGATAACATTACGAATGATTACGATTTTCGCGCATGATGGGGCCCCTCCCCATTTTGCCTTATCGGTAAGGCAATACTTAGATGAGCACTATCCTAACAGGTGGATAGGTAGAGGAAGTAATGTCCACCTAGATCCCTGGGCTTAAACCCATGTGATTATTTCCTTTCGGGAGCGTTGAAGACCACAGTTTATAGCTTTTTGTAAATACAGAAGACGAATTATGGGAAAGAATACAAAATAAAATTAATGTTATGAGCGGTAGGTAATGGATAAAATTCATTTTAATTTCCTAAAAAGAGTTAATGCCTGCGTTCCAGAACAAAGAAGTCAATTTAAGCATTTACTATAATATTATTTTAATGTGATTACTAATATCAATTTAGGTTTATTTAAAATGTTTATGTTGACTTTCTTAAATTATTAGTTGATATTATTTATTTGAAATACTGTTGATTTTTTATTTTATTGATTGATAATACTAAGACTAAAAATGTGTAGTTAATTTTGTTTTTTTCAATGTCAAGTTTTTTCATTATTAATCCCTGCTTTGAGGCCGTGGTTACAAATTATTTTTAATCGAAATTTTTGCCTATACATACTTGATGTATAAAAAATGTCTATTTTACTTGAAATCCATAAACGATATAAAAATTTTGTAAAAGGCAAAAAATCTTCTAAAATAGTGCTTATTTTTAAAAATATAAATTCCGACGTCACCAAATTGCAAGATATGGATGTAGACGATATGTGGTTTCAACAAGACGGTGCCACATACCAAACAGCTCGAGAAACAATTCAATTCCGGATCGTGTAATTTCTCGTTTTGGTGATCAGAATTGGTCGCCCAGATTATGTGAATTAACACTGGTGGACTTTTTCTTTGGATTTTTTTTTTGAGTCTAAAGTTTAAAAGAATATTTTTTTTAATATGCTTTAATTATAATTATGTTAATATACACGATTGTATTTCTCACAAAATTTGTTTCTCAATGATACACATATTATTATTCACAATAGGCAATCGTTGTACTTATGTATCAATTAGAGTAATCAAATCAAGTCAACTGTTTTCTAAATAGAGCACGGTCTAATCTGCCAAATGCAGAACAAATGTAGAAGTACTTCATAGTTTGAACTTAATAATGACGCCCGAAATTTTTCATTTGTCCGCATGTTATTGTGAATTTTCATAAATGTACTTACACCATTTAGGAAGAGCATAGAACAAATAGATTAGATTGTGGTATAAATATAACACTTTCTGATAAAGCACATATTATCGATCTTATTTCATGAGTTCTTACACCTTATAAATTTTGTAGTTGCATTAAAAAAAGTCAATAAGAATTGCTCAAACAACTGTTTTGCTTGCTTTATAAAACATAGAATCAAGGTTTAGATCAAATGTAAACTAACTACAAAACTTACCATATGGTAACCCCATCCAGTTAAAGTAGCCTCCGAAAATTCCGGTATAGCTTCAAAAACCTTCGGAAGTTGAATTGGTTTCACTCTTTCACTAAATTCAAGTGGCTGGGCAAGCTGGATAAATAAAAATTGTTTTGTTCACAAAACTAAATAAACGATATCTTACGTGAACAATGGCGATGTCATTTCTGTAAGGTTTAAGCCCTGTATATCCAGAATGAACTATAATCCTTTCAATTAACATGAATGTACCATATGTGACGATAGTCGATCCAGGTAGTACTGTGAAGCCTTCCAGATCTCTAGCAGACACGAAAATAAATATTTAGTTTATGTAAATCAGGGAACGGAATAATCTAACCTCGTTGCGACGCAGTGGGCAGCTGTTAAAATATTGTTTTTGTCGATAATTGAACCTCCACATAAATGTCGTCCATCGTACTGAAGAGATACCTAAATTTATAAAAATATATATTATGTTCTGTCCTACGTATCTCGAAGAATGAACTATATTTGATATCTACTCATATACAGGGCATTCTACAAGTTACACGACATACTTTGACAGATGGTAGGTGGGTTAATGTCAAACATTTTTTCTTATATGAACACAGGTACGATTCGTTGTTGTTTAGAAGTTACAATCTCTTTAATAAATATAATTTCACATTTCAATAAAAATAGCTTTATAAATTAAAATTAATGGTAACTATAACAATAATTATTATTTGTCATTTTGTATATCTTTGTTAAAACAGCTGATCATAAATCAGAGATCTGTAAATAAAATTACTACTTTCAAATTCGCAAAATATAATTCCATGAAGCTTTGAAGATATAAAAGGAATATAATACATGAATAATCGTTTTGTGAATGTTGTTGTTATAGTTGTTGTTGCCGTAGTGGTAGTTGTAGTTGCAGCTGGTGTTGTTGTCGTTGTTATTGATGCCATTGATCTATAACATCAACAACAACAACAACAAAAACATCAACACGAGAAGCAGCAGCGGGAACAACGACAGCAATAACATGTACAACAGCAGCAGCAGCAACAGTAACAACTAAAGCAGACTTCTCTAACCTATGATCAGAGTATTCCTTAGCAAGTAGTCAGAGATTCCTTACTGTTGTAGTCAAAGGATTCCTTTCCAACTCGACAGAACGTTTCTTATCCTCCTTACGCATACTGTTGGCTAAGCAAATCAGTTCAAGTAACGAGATTAAGAGCGTTATCAGCGTCGTTGTCTTAGATTAGATGTCGTTGTTATTGCTTTTATTGATCTTGCTGGTGCTGCCGCCTCTATTGTTGTTTAGTTGTTGTTGCCGTAGTAGTAGTTGCAGTAGCAGCTGTAGTAGTTGTAGTTGCCGCTGCTGTTGTTGTCATTGTTACTGATGCTATTTATCTACAACAGCAACAACAACAACAACAACAAAGAACAACAACAAAAAACAACAACACGAGCAGCAGCAGCAGCAGCAGGAACAACGACAGCAATAACATGTACAACAGCAGCAGTAGCAAAATATTTCACAATAACCTATACAAACAAATAGAACAGATAGATACCACAAACTTATGTGTAGATATAAAACAGAAATAAAGATTTGATAGATGATATAATATGAAAAATAAATTTCAGTCTTACCATGTAAGGATAATCTCTTATATTCACATCCGTTCCGTTCACAATTCGAGAGTCAATATCCAGAGGGACAGCTAAAATATTACAGCTTTTAAAAATTATGGCAAAATATAGAATAGAGGACCTACCTTGTGAAGCAGACAGAACTGCAATAGTTAGACTTGCTAGTAAAACATACATGATTATGTTAGTACTATATAATTATTCAGAAATACACCTTTTATACAAAACTCATAATCTTTATCGATTCTGACAATGATGATAATCTTTTGTTTGTGATTTTCCTGATAATACCTAAGTCTTTGTATTTTTATTAAATATAATCATTTTAAGTTCCAGTAAACAAGCCATTAAAATATATTGTTGAATAGCATAATATTTTTTTTAAATATATTAATTTGATTTTTTTAATAAATCAATCGCTGATTCTTTGAGAAGTAGCGCATATAATATTTTTAAATATAAAGACGAATGAAGTTACAAACATTTTAACTTTTTACATAGGTACTATAAAAAATTATTATTTTTTCTTTATTTCGCTATTAACTCCACTGACATAATAATCCAAATCTAAACCATTTAACAAAGTATGCCACTTACTTTACGGCAGTTGCTACTTTTCTAACTTTTCGGAGGCATTTAACATCCACAGAATTATTAGGGACAACGTGAATAAATAAACCGTTCTCCTGATACAGTCGTGGTGATGAAGCCGTTGGTTTTTATAGGACAATAAAATTATATAGACCAATACGCCAATGTTTTCAAAACATAAAGATTGCTTTTAAAATATACTTATTTACAGCATGGCTAAATCAAGAATGACCACCCCCAGGTAGATAAGATATATTTTTATGCAAAATATTCTTTTTACAGATTAAGGATTACAATAAAACTCTGAATGCCGTCTTCACTATTTAATTTGTTAATTTTTTTTTTAAATAATCGTACAGTTATGATGAATTTGAATATTGTGACAATTTCATTTATCTTCGTTAGCACTACTCATTTTTTGTACTTTTACACGGTACATTCAGTATCTTACACATTGGCAGTATGTTTAATTTAGATGTAGATTCCTTTGATTGTTTTTGATCATTAATTCTGTTCCTTACACGTAACAGAAAAAAATTACAGAGTTTTTATTGAAGTTTGTTGGTTCTTGTATAGAACTGTGGCAATCGTTAAAAATATTAGAAGATCGACTGTTAGATATTTCACAATATAATTTTCACAGACGTTGGTCTTTGATCGATTTTAGAACATTGCCATAGTTCGAATTTCGTTAAATTTGGAAATGTTTTAATTTCCAAATATTTGGAACTGGTGTCGGTATCTCTGTGAAGGCTGTTGGTCCTTGGCAGGAATCGGGGGGTCTACTGAGATCTTTTGTCTATACTTTACTGTAATATCGACAAATATTTGGCGCAGTATCAGTGGATATATACAATTTTGAGTGGTTTATATTTGAATTATAATACAAACATTACAATGCCGATGTTTATATTTTTCAATGTCACGGAAGGTAATTCTAACAATTTGTTAATTTCGTATTGTTGGACCGAGAAATATATTGTCCATAACATATGCGCGTTCCTCATTGCATCCTACATATCATTTTAAAAATGAAATAAATCGACAGCAAATTAAATCTTTATAAAAAAAAGGTAAACATAGTACCTACTTTAGTATGTGTGTCTGGTATTACTTATCTGGAATATTATCGACTCTTAAGTATCTTAATTCATCAATCATATCAGATTGCCCGAACAATAGTCGCTTAATGCACTCATAAAAAGTTCACTATACTTAAAAAAAATAATTTCCAAACGAAGCAACAGCTTTACCTAAAGGGTTCATATTCCCATCGAAATTTTGTTATTTTTTTCCACAATAAATTTAGATAAAGAAGTTATGACTATCTGGAACATGATTGCTTCTTATTATTTATAGTCCAGACGGTATCTGTTTCAAAAAGCCATATTTGGGTGAATCGTATATCCACGGAGATTTTTGGTTTTTTGGCAAATATCACTAGAAATGAAAATATCACTAGAAATGAAAATTTTTCTATGCGCATAAAAAAAAACGTGGGCTTAACTTTTGGCGGCACAATATGTGAAAAAAATTGGAAAAATGTCATATGTTTCTTCCTATTTAATTATGTATCTTTTTAAGAGTTGATTTTAGGCGAAAATGGAAGAGGAAAAAAATGTTTGTAATTAAATTTTTTACAATACCTGACTGGTTACAAATTGAATGAATTATGATTATTATGGTAAAAATCGAAAAAATCACAAATATGGTGTTAAAAAACAATACTTTTTAGGGAATTTTTTGGTGTATTTAAATTGGGTGTAGGACCTTTATACTTGGCTCAAGAAAACTTTATGTTATGTAGAATCATCACACCAAATTTCATCAAAATCGGTTCGATAGATTTTGCATATTAATTTTGCAATCCAGTTTAAAAAAAATACAAATTTTCAAAATTTTGCACAGCAAAAACCAAGGCCCTTAGATACTTGAATTGAATTTAATCACATATAGAAGGGCTCTCAGGCTTTCAAACTTTTTTTGAAAAATTCGAATCCGTCAATTAGGAGAGCTCTGGTGCTTGTTTAAACATTGGTCGAATTTTTGTACTTATAAACAATTAGAACTTTGTGAATATTCAATCAAATCAAATTTTTTAATGCAGGTTTTAAAAGTTCTTGGAGAGACGCTTCTTTAAAAAAAAAAACAGATCGATTGATCAATTAGTTACGTAGTTATAGACGATTCAATTTCGAGCAGGCCGAAGCGGCCGCGCTCTCTGTACCACCACCCGTACGATTTTATTGAATTTGTCGCTTGCATAAATAACTTTAAACACGTTTTAAAGTAGGTTGCCAATAAAGAAAAGTATTGTAATCTTAGACCTTGTAAGTACTCGGAATACCAAAGGTATTTTTTGAAAAATTAGCCAGGATGTCCCAGTACATTTAGTGTAAATGATGGCTATCGCATCACTTTTTGTATAATAACAGACACGACATTGAAAAACAAATTTTGCAGACAGATAAAAATACAATTATAAGTAGTGAGTTAAGTATTATTTATGAATTATTACCATTCTTTTAACTACAATCCATTATATTTATCAACACTGCATGACAGATATGGATACAATGAGCATTGTTAGTTTAATCAATAAATGCTCACTTTTTAATAAACAAACACACTTTCTTTATCGTTACTCGTGGAAGATTCATTCTCGTCATTATCAAATTTTCGTTGCCAGAACCTAATACATTGAATTTAATGGAAGCATCACGTAAAGGCTCGATATTTAAGAGTTAACGATCATCCAAATACCAAAAAACCTCGTTCCTATTTAAAACTATATAGATTTATTCTGTACTCCGCAACTGCTGGCTTTTCTAAGCTGTTCTTCGTGCTGCTCTACATCATACTGATGTAGATTTTCCATGTATAGGGTACTGGAGCTTTGGAGAAAATCATTCCTGCAGCTTGTCTTAGCAAAGACTGTTCCTATCTTGCTTCAAGTGTTGTAAATGCTTGTGTTTTCTCAATGACATCTAGAAACGGCAAGGTATTGTCCAGATTTATTTCATTGATCTAATTCCAGAATCCTCCTATGTCAATCCATGAAGCCATGAAGGTTTCCTTTTCGAAGACTATATTTTGTCGGTAATGCCAATTAACACATAAACAAATCACATAACACAAATAAATCAATCCTATTCCAACATTTAATGTACATGTGATGTGTCTAGATGATCTAGATCTATATTTCAAAAGGTTATTAGATAAAAGTTGATGATTTTTATAAGTCAAATGCGTGGCTAACATTTTGGCACTTATTTCTGGGTCATCTACGTAAATATTAAATAGTTTTCAGTTGTCCTTTATAGAAAAAAATATTTTTTACATTGCCAATATTTGGGCTACCTACCAGGAGGCATTTGGGGCAGTTAGAAGACACGGTACGTACAATAGCTTCAAAGAAAATGTCTTAAATACCTTTCTTATAAAGTTGGTTATTTCTTGGAACTCTTTAAACTTGCTTTATTTTATAAGTTTGGAATTGCTATGCGTAAAGAATATTACGGAATATCTATATAACTTTCCTAATAAAATTGATTGGCCTCCAGCGAACTTTACCAAACAGGGATAAGCATTTAAACCTGATATTGTTTTCTATATACGCAATATGCTTCTTAGTAGTATCAAATTAAAATCTAAATAGATAGTCAGAAATTATATTTTACTAATATATTAATGGCGTAGTGATTTTTATCTTAAAATAATGAAATTGTCTAATTTTTAATGCAAACGGATATTCTGATTCTATTGATGATATTGAAGTCTTTAGTCTAGGAATCTCAAATAATGACTATTAGTATCAGTAAAACAACATAAGTCGTCAAAAGTAATTCAATATATTCAGAACGGTTCTATTCTCTCTTTAAATTGCAATTTAGAAAATCTATGTATGTGGACACTTTGGTGAAGACCCCTGGATATCCTTCTCGTGCACATGGCTTTATTGACCAAGAAACAATTCCAATTTGAGTACCATCAAATACTAGAGGACCTCCAGAATCACCCTGAAATCATGATAAATCTCATTTTTATTGTTTTAATTTTACAAAATACTTATGATGTATATTTTGTTAAAAATTCAAAGCGCAAATGTGAATTGGTTTAAAAGGAAATACTGAAAGAATATATTTTAATAAAGTTGACTATCATATTGGATATTCACCATTTCAAACATATTTCTACATTTGAATTAACAAACCTGACTCAAACAAAACTGGAATAGGAAGAAATTAATACATGAAGACAACAAAATAGGCGCTCTGAAGAGATATACAGGGTGTTTCAGTTTTGGTGAATCAAACTTTAACCACAAATATACAGGGTAGCCCATCGAAAACGTACCGCAAGGCATTACAGGGTAGTAAAGAATTTTTCGCCAAAATCCAAAAACAGGTCAAATTTGTTTCTGAGGGAGACAACTTTTGGCTCAAAAAGCATACCAAAATCTTCAACCCCCTAAGTGGAGTGGAGGTGGTATCCCCTAAATTTTTTCAAATGGGAATGGGGGTCAAGAAGGGGGTCATTAGAAAGGGCTTTTAATTCTCTATACATCGATTCTTACTTTTTGAAAATCGATTCATTATTTTAGAAAATATGCAGCTTCAAAAATACGAACAATATTTTTGACGAAAAATGCGAAAATCGATTTAATTTTACTTCAAAACTTACGGTATTAGTCATGTAAATGCTGAAAACGTTGTCCGCCAACTTGCATATAATGATACAGGTTGTCTTTAAACCGTTGTCTAACATTCTGGAGCACTTGCGGTGTTACTTCGCGACATACATTAATGATTCGTACTCGCAGATCTTCCAAGGTATCAGGTGGAGTGCTGTAAACTTTGCTTTTAATGTGCCCCCAGAGAAAGAAATCTAAAGGATTTAAGTCCGGTGACCGAGGGGGCCACTCAATTGCACCTCTTCGTCCTATCCAGCGTCCTGGAAACGTCTCATTTAGGTAATTGCGCACATTGAGCGAGTAATGTGGAGGAGCTCCGTCTTGCTGGAAAATCAGTTCGTGTTCATTGTAAGCAGGGTCGTCCTCTATGATATTTGTTAGAGCTGGGTCGATGACATTTTGTAGTAAATCCAAGTACATATCGCCTGTCAAATTTCCAGGAAGGAAAAAAGGACCTACAATGGAATTTCCAAAAATACCTGCCCATACATTCAACTTCTGGGGGTGTTGGGAGTGTGTCTCATGGAAAATCCTTGGATTGGTATCAGCCCAGTAACGACAATTATGGCGATTCACTAAACCATTCAAGAAGAACGTACACTCGTCCGAAAAACACACATTAAAGAGGAAATTATCGTTTATCGCTCGTTCAGTCATTATTTCGCAAAATTGCAAACGACGATCAAAATCGTCTTCATTTAGCTCTTGCACTAGCCGAATCTTATAAGGATGGAATTTGTATTTTTTTAATATTCGTTGGACACTTGTACGACTCACTCCTGTCGCAGTAGCCAATTGCATTGTACTCAGCGTACTATCCATTGCCACTTGCCCCAATACCGCTATTTCCGTAGGTTCATTTAGTACCGGATTTTCAACCTGCCTCTTTTTGTTATGAACGGAGCCAGTTTCGCGAAATTTGGCCACCAATTCGCGAACAATTTTTCCAGACGCATGTTTCTCAGGATGCCGTTGGTTGAACAGTTCGGCGACCCGATTTCCGCATTCATTGTTTTTGAAAAAAAGCTCAATAATTTCTACTCTTTCTGGAATTGAGTACACCATAATTAATCAATTTAAAAGACTCGGCAGTATTGGTACTCTTCAACTACAAGTCACAAGACAGTTATCTAGCAACTTCTTGTGGCCTATCTAAATACGAAACAAAAAGCGGACAATTTTTTGCTCACCAAAATCAGGCTAAAGAATTCGCAAATCAGAAAAAAAAAAAGAATTCTTTTGAAGGAATTTACCAAGCTAATACCGTAAGTTTTGAAGTAAAATTAAATCGATTTTCGCATTTCTCGTCAAAAATATTGTTCGTATTTTCAAAGCTGCATATTTTCTAAAATAATGGATCGATTTTCAAAAAGTAAGAATCGATGTATAGAGAATTAAAAGCCCTTTCTAATGACCCCCATTTGACCCCATTCCCATTTAAAAAAAATTAGGGGATGGCACCCCCACTTAGGGGGTTGAAGATTTTGCTATGCTTTTTGCGCCAAAAGTTGTCCCCCTCAGAAGCAAACTTTACCTGTTTTTGAATTTTGCCGAAAAGTTCATTACTACCCTGTAATGCCTTGCGGTACGTTTTCGATGGGCTACCCTGTATTTGTTACGTTAGTTAGTTCAGGATCGAATATCAGCCAAGCACAGGTTTAACAATTTGAGGAAATTATATAATAAGATCAAACTGTATACGGTGCTGTTCAAAATATTCATATATGTGTGATATTATGCGCGCAAATTTCCCAGTTAGAGTTGTGAGTAGTGGCAGCATATATATGTAATTTTAGACAAATGTTATCCATTAGCGCGCAATTATGGGAGACCTCCACCATATATTTTTTGTTTTATTGAATTTATTAATATTTTCAGGCATATTTATCTGGAATGCACTTCTAAGAAGCATGTTTTACTCACACTGCACTGTCCTTTGCCTCCTTCAGGTATACCTGCACAAACGTGAGTTATGCGACTGGTTGGGCCTGTTTCTGCATGTAATATCTCGCATTGTGAATCCGAATAAACGGTAATATTTACTTCTTGAAGAGTTTCCTGCAGATCACCATTTGTACTCTGAAAACAGTAAATATTTTAGATAGACATGGCAACAATTTTATTAAATTTTAACTACTCCTGGAAAATATCTCGTATACCGGATGTAATCCATTATTTAAAATGGAAAAATGATTAATTTTTAACCATTAATATTGTTTTAATCCCTACATTAAACGAATCCAGGGAAAATCCAACTCGTTAAAAAATTATTCGAAACAATATAAATATAATTTTTATAGCATTAGCTAAAACATAAATATTTGAAAAATTTTCTTTGTAGTTTTTCAAATAACCCTATATGGCATAAATAGAATGGATTCCAAACAGTACAGCAGTATTCTAATTTAGTTCTTATGTACGAAAAATACAAAATAATGAGTGATGCGATATTAGTAAACGATTTACAGTTGCGAAGTATAAAACCGTAAGCCTTCATTGCATCTTCTATCTTGGACATAATATCACATGAAAAAGATAGTTCCTGATCGAAGATCACTCCCAAGACTTTAGTTTTAGTCAAACGATTAATTTCGATATTATTAATTAATTATAACGATAAGGTGATTTCTTCTTTGTAATACTCAGAATATTGCATTTCTTAGCATTTAGATATAAATCATTTAAATTACACCGGGCTTCAATTTTAGCTATATTTCCTTGAAGAGCAACGCAGTCATTTAAGGACGTTTGAAAAAAATTTTAAATCATCAGTTATTAGTTTCCGACAGTTCAGACGGTAGTAAGGTCATTATCAAATAACAGAAATAACAACGGGCCTAAATTTGAACCTTAACAGACTTCGCCAAATACTTGACGGAACCATAACCATTATAAAAAACATGTTGTTGTCTTTCAGATAAGTATGACTGTAATAAGTAGTAAGATTGAATCAGAATCGAAACCAAAGCTGTAAAATTTTGCAAGAGAATCTTATGATTTATTCTGTCAAATGCCTTTGCAAAGCCGGTACCTATATACTCGTATAACAACAAACTGAGCTCCACTGTCCACCACTTCCAATGCATAACTAGGAAAGTACGGCCAAGTTGCTGGTTGTTGATCTCATTTTCATGAAACCATGGCATGGACATATTTGTTGAGAAACCGAAGGGAAAGTCCTGTTATACAAAATGATTTCAAAAACCTAATGCAAGCTTAACGGAATATTGCCAATACGATAAACGTAATGACATTAACTTAATGGAAAACAAATTAGGAAAATCGAATTTACCAGGAAAATGTTACATATAGCAATGCACTAGTGATATTTTATCAGAAGGTTTTTTGAATTAATAAAATTTCCGGATTCAATTTAAGCACCAGTGACATTAAGTAAAATTTGTTCATGTTATATCCTATCAGCTGGTATTTCGATGATGTGAGTCAGCCATGTCGAACCGATTCTTTTAAGGAACTAAAGTTACGACAGAATTGAATACAACCCCATAATTTCTAAAACATGCTGTAAATTAACCAGTAAATGACAGTAAATAAGGAACATTGCTAATAAAAAAATTTGCTTCGTTCGTTAGCTAATTGAAACAAATTCAAAAGAGTCTTATCAAATGGAGTCAAACAATGTTCTTCGACACCATACATCTAGATATGCAAACGATATTGAGCCTTACAGACAAGATTACTAACTACTGATGCTGCGGAAAGCAACATGGGCTTCATGCTCTTATTATATTGTATTACACCACGCTAAATACTCATTAAACAGTAACAAATAATTATTTTTTCAAATTAACTATAAAAATGAAATGCTTAAATAATAATTAATAGAAAAACACATACCTCGTATTTTTACAATTATAATCTATATCGATTATAATGTAATCATATAAATATGCTTTTGACAACGTCGATTTTTTAAAATGTCATCCTTCTTCTTAATTTTAATTTATATGTAATTTTTTTCTGTTAATGTTTGTAACGTGAAGATAAGCTGCTTGGTAAAACAATCGCAAGTAAAATATGGAAACAAAAAGATCTGTTTGTAGCAGCTATTTTTTTACGTGATCAAACTTTGTTAAAAGTGAAAACAAGAATATAGAATGTTTCTCTGAATGTCTGCATGACAAAATTGTAATAATGAAATAAATAAATAAATTAGAGTTGCCAATTTCGTTTGTTAGTTCACGCCAATAATGCTACATTCTTCGTTAAATTTATAGTAATCGTACGATACGATCTTTTAAGTGTCCACCGTTGATTAATTTCATATCGTGACAATGATTTTAGGTGCAATTGTCTTGGTTCCAAGTTTAGTTCAAATAACTGACCTAACGGTGTGAATATAAGGAAAAAAACAACCGGAACTTTTCAATGTGAACGTGAACTTTGTGTAAATTATCTGAAGGTTACTACATTATTACGTAACCAGTTGAATGAGGCATAAATAGATTTGAGCCATTTTAATGGCCAAAAACAAAATACTTACACTATTCAATCCCCATCCTGTTAGAACAGCAGTAGAAAGCTCTGGTATAGGTTCGAAAGCCTTAGGCAACTGGATCGGTTGCACATTTTCATTAAATTCAAGTGGCTCCGCAAGCTGGAAGAATATAAATTACCTTTTCACGTATGAAAATTGTATAGTTTACACCTTACGTGAACAAGCGCGATATCATTACTGAATGGCATATCGTCAATGAAACTTTCGTGTATGAAAGCCCTCTCGACCGACATTAACCATCTGTCATTTTTTGTGATACTAGTGGTTCCAGCTAGTACCGTAAAACGTGAAATGTTCAATTTAGTATGTATGTCCATACTAAAATAATTGATTAATTGAATAATAGAAAAGTAAAATAGGTAGGTCTCTTACTCTTCAAAGCAGTGGGCAGCTGTTAAAATATTGTATTTGTCGATAATTGAACCTCCACACCAATGGGATCCATCCAGTTGAAGAGATATCTGAAAATATGTTTAGTATATCTTTTACTGGATGTAGTATAGTGGTGGACAAAAAAGCTTCAGAAATAGAGACGGATAAAGCCCCATTTTAGAAAGGGCTATAGAACGCTTTAGTTTGGAAATTTTTTATCATCCATAATTGTACGGTTAAACAAACAAAAGTAGTTACTCCTACTGTTAAGAAACTTATATGGTAAAATTACGTGAACTTATTGAAATATGTCGTAATGGAATTTACTTTGAAAATCATTGTATTTATCTTATAGGAATCTTATCTTACTACAGGATGAGTCACTTTAGTTGGGATATAAATGAAAAGTAAAAAAAATAAAATATTCTAAAAACAAGCTTTTATTAAAATGCACTAAAAACAAAAAAATAAACTAAGGACTTCATAAAACCCATAATTCTGTGTAAACCCACAGAAGAGTTGAATATGGTTGCTCTATACAAGTCATCAGGAAAAGTTTGATAAATATACACGTACTACCAGTACCTATGTTCATATTCTTATGCGAAAAGCTTACCGCAAGGTTTATTCCTAATTGGAATTTCTAGTTTAAGGGGTAGATGTCTTTTAATATCTCATGAGCCGCGAATTGCGCGAAAGGCGTGGCGTATCCCCATAATTCTTCTAATAAGCACGTTGTGAAAACATTGACTCAGAACTAGACCATGTGCATCATTACAAGTAGACATGAACTAAGGCGCTCGGGCATCAATAAAGTCAACTGACGAACGTTCGTTATATATATTTTTATTGTTTAAATTAAAATAATAAAGAATAGGGCATTTTATTATAATATTTATAATCGGATCAAAGGCTTGTTTACGCTAGAGCCCGAGAGAGACTGTGAATAATAGGTGTAATGTTTTTAGGACGTAGAATAACTTAGGCGACGGTCGGAATTATGTTTCTGCGCATATGAAGGTCAAAGCTCATAAGATTTTAAAACATCTCTAAGTTAAGACAATTATCTATCTATTATCTGCTACTAATCGTTAAGGTGTGCCCTCCTGAGGCTCCAGCATCATGTTATTTCTATCACTTTAGTGTATTGTCATCAGAACTGAACAAGCATGCAAAATTTCAAAATCGCAAGTTTAGAGGAAGTGGTTCAAATTTGGCTTTGAAGATTTGAACGAAATATACAAACAATAAGAGTTTGTAATAAAAAATAAGTTTTTTCTTTAATTTTTAGGTATTTTGCCTACGGTCAATAAATTTAAAAATTAGTAAAATAAGCCTTGACTCCAAAAGGATCAATCATAGGTTATTTTTATAAAAATAGTTTTGCCTATTTGAAAAGCTCACACTGAAAAAAGCAGACAAATACAAAATACAAAAAGCACTTTAAAAAATTATTAACGTTTTGAAAATCTATCTGTTTTCGTCTTCCGAATTTATTCTGACTTTTGGTGTTTGATACTTTTGACAGTTTTTTTATGAATTGTGAAGAGTTTTTTGTATTTTGTATTTATTTGTATTATTTTGTAGTAGTATTTATTTTGTATTGTTTTATTTGTGTTATGTATTATTTTTGAATTCTGTAATTTTTTTTTCAAAAATTGAAACTACAAAAACATTTTATCGTTATTGAATGCAAACGTCAAAAATATTCAATAGTAATTGATTTTTAAGTCGGTTGTTCATGTTTACTGATAATCTGATATTAGATAATTTTTGTTGTTCATGTATTACCTGTACATCATAATGCAACATATTCATTCAGTATAAGGCATAAGGTTTCAATTAATCAAGATCATTTTATCTGAAATTTAAAGGAAGTCACAATCTTAATGAATCACTCCGGCTTATCTCTAAAATGTTGTATGTATACAGGGTGATTCAGAACTTATCCAAAAAAAAATTCTGGATGTATAGGGTACCCTCACAAATACAATTTTGTAAAGAAAAAATCAAAAAGGGCAGTTCGAAAATGATTTAAAAATACACTTCTGCACGCCACTGGAAACTGGTCCACTGTAAAACCTGACCTCGAATACGACTGGCATGGCGGTGTGATAAAAAACGGACAAAAACTTTCGCAAGGAAAGAAATATGCAAATAGAATTTTATCGCACCTATTTTATATCGGCAAATTCAACTGACTTTGCCTTTATTAATTAAAATTAATTTGTGCTTTTAAATAATAAAATCATTTGACATTCCCGATGTTACAACAACAATTATTCAAAATTTTATCCACCAACGTGTAAACACATTTGGGTTCGTCTTACTCAGTTTCTACGAACTAACACAAATGTTGTCTTGCTTCACCATAACACAAATGCTTCAACATAAATTAAAACGATAACCGTCAACTCCGAGTTGGTATACACGCAAACCATTTTTGACGCTAACTACCCACTTTTGACAATAACTACTAAAAAACTATTGTAAACACCACAGATAACAGGTAAATACTATCGCAACGACGATTGCAAAATCTGATTTCAATATTCGGAGTCGCTGAGGCCACGTGGCTCTCCACGCGCATTGCGAATGACGCTAGAGACTACAGTTGTCCAGCTATGTAGTGGTTAAATGTATTATAACTTCAATAATTTTTTTCTCGGAAACTATAAGGATTTTACAAAATTTTTTTTTACCATATTGACACCATTTCTCATGCCGCATCTATTCCCAAATTTTTTTTTTGGATAAGTTGTGAATCACCCTGTATAATCGATAAATATGATCAGATTCATGTTTCAGGAACAATTGTTTCATACACTATATTTTTTATTACTAAGGTTTTGTTAAATTACATATTTTGAAAAATTCAGAACACTGTTAGTAACTGAGATTTAGGTGATAATCTAAAAAAAAAACTTTCTTTTTCTGATCTCTATATAACCTTTCTATGACATTACAAAAAAAAAACTGACTTGAAATGCAAATGTCCTTTATATAGAATGGTATGAAGGTATTATAAAACACATTTTGTAATGTTTTCTAAACAGAGAATAAAAAATACTGGTTTATTGGGAAAAAATACAAATGGCAGTATTAAATATGTGCAGGTTCAGTAAATAAATAGCAGCAAACTTCAAAGCAAATACACGATATGCGTATATCATTATCCGAAAAAGGGGGGATTAAGGAAAGTTTGGTCTAAATGTTCTAAATGTAACAATCAGTTTTTTTTATAGATTGCATTGAAATCATAAGAAAAATGCCTGGTAAAACTGGTAAATCATTTTCTAAAAGGCGAACATGTTAACAAATTTAGGCTTTGCTAAGTGTTCTATTAGAATTTGTTTACAATACAAGCTCAAATATTAATTGAGAAAAGCGATATTGAATAATTGAAACAATTGGGTAATCTTGTTGCAGTACAGCATGGATTCTGTACATAAAACGGATATAGCTGCTCAAAATTCACCCTATTTTCCAACCCCGACTAGAAAAGCTGAAGAAACCGCGTAAACCGACATTTACCGTACCCAAAGTCAAGGACGATGTCCCAACAGATCCGAACCCGTCAAAAAATCACCTCACTTCCCAATTTTTCTTTCCCCCACTGAGTGCAAGATAAGGATGAAAGGAAAATATCTCTTCTTTGATGGCAGAAAAATGAGTCAATTTCCTAAACGCCCTATATAACAAACATGTACGTGTATATGAAAAGTAAATGCTTGTGAAAATGCAATTTATGCTAATCATAATTGAAAAAAGCTACCAAATAAAATATTTTCTAGCTCACCATATATGGATGATCCTTAATATCTGTGTCGGTTCCATTTACAATTCGAGAATCAACATCCCCAGGAGCAGCTAAGGAACAGTTTATTAAAAGAAAAGACAGCATTAAAGAAAACTTACCCTGGCAAGTCCTAAGGGATGCAATAGCTATGGCTGCTAGCAAGACGAACATTGTGATTCAATTAAATTAAACTTTTTTTAGATCTATTCTATCTTTTATACTAAAATCTAATCTCTGCCAATTACAGTAATTATATTCTAATGTTGAAAACTGATAACATCATTGTATTTTTTGAAAAGAAATCCGACAAGTAAATAAAAATCTTCAAAAGCATTTATCATAATAACTTTAACCACCGCTATTGTACTTTTAAATTACAATTTATCCAATTTGTGTATGTTGATACTGGATTTCTTGCAAGTGTACATTTGACCAAGAAACAATACCAATTTGTATTCCACCAACTACTAGAGGACCTCCAGAATCACCCTTCAATAAAAAAATAAATAAAATAGAACATTTTAACTACTTACGTTTGACAATGAAATTAATTCCTAAATTTTAAGAAATCTTAAATATGGCATTAGAGGACTTAACCACCAGCTTTATTTTATGAATATGTTTTTTTATTTTAATTGGTATTGGTATTGGTACCTTCAATTTTTATTGAAAACGGTGCAGATTGTAGACAAATACGGAATGGTTACCACTTGCATCTGCGCCATTGTGACTGAAGAAAAAATATTTCCCCGTAAAAATATTACCTACAACTGACCATGTGAAGACCTTTGCCCAGTTCACATTCCAGGTTTGAATAAACCCCTATATCCACTTTCTGAAGAGTTTCCTGTGGAGATCCACTAGTCTAAAAAATAACACATAATCGTCCAATATATTTTCCTCGATTTATAATAGAAATTGTCATGCGGATGACTAATTAGATTTACATACTGTAGTTAATTTATATGTTTTCACGAAATGAATTAAATGAATACCGAAGGTATTTTTGTAAAAATCTACTAAAGAAATATGTGTCCAAATAAAATAATGCCATATGTTATCTTTCAAAGTTTCGACTATAGTTACAGGGTGATCATTTAAATTTTGAATATTCCCTCTTCCTCTCTCTAAAGTACTTATAGTTGACAATAATGTCCTAACTTCTTTCTTCAGAAATTTTCTGTATAATGCCTAACTTAATGTCCTTAAAAATGCATTACATAGTACAAGTACTTGTTTCTATTATATATTCATTTCTACACAACATTTCCAATTTTCTCTATTTTAATTACTTCACGTCTGGTTGTAGTTTTTGTATAATCAAGTTATTGAACATTGGATTGTCTGTTGGATCATTTATTTTTTGCTAAATGAATAAATACATATGCTTCCAAATAATGATAAAACTTGCTACTTACAGTTTTCTCACTACATCCTCCAACATTCTATCGCGTTTAATGGCCGATGCATCGAGATTTTTCCTCCCATTATTAACGTGATCAAAGTTGCATCATTGGTTTTGCACCGACTAAATTCTCGTGAGGCCGTCACTCTGTCATATCTTAACTCATGCCAAAAACAGCTCTGATGTTGGTCTCGTCTCTTCTTCAACTTTCATGTCATCTTCATCAATCAATACGAGTTTTTTCAAAAATGTGTCACAGGACTGTTCTTTGTATTTCAGCACCAATTTATGCATAGATAAACTTTTGATCACAAACCTAGTCTTTTTGATATTTTATTAACTCGTAGTTGTTGAGCTTTATTTTCTTTCCTTCTTTTAGAAACGTTTCAAGTACCTAAAGTTTCTTGATTATAATTTTGGTAACACAAAACTAAGCAACTGATAGTTGGGAAGCACAAAATATTTAAACGAAGACAAATACTGCGGATATTGTCGAAGTACAAATGACACAAAATGACTCTCTAAAAAACTGTTGTTTATATTTTGGTGAGTAATCGCACAGTTATGATGAATTCACTTTTGACAATTCCTTAAATGTAACTTGGACATACCACGTAATCATAAAATAATTGATTTTAGAGGTGTATGAAGTTGATAGTAGGGCATCATCGCGCAGTTAGAATGACGTTTTCAATTTTTTTAGCGGAAAGTCAAGAAATGACATTTTTTCAACACGATCTAACAACGTTATGGATTGTCCAGAGTTCAAAGTTATTAAACGTATTTGTAGGAAATTTTGTCTATTTTAATTTGATGTACCATCGTTATAATAAAACAACGCTTAGTTTTCGAATTATAGTTAAAAAACTGAAAAAAGTGCCGAAATTTTAAAGTTTCTTGCAATTTTCCTTGTGAAGCTGATGCCTGACAAGGTGGCAAATCTCAGATTCGGATTCAGCACCCTAAAAAACATATAAACTCGGTGAGAAAAAAACTTTTGCTTACTGGATTACATTGTCTTAGTTCGAATTTCGTTAAACTTGGAAATGTTTTATTATCCAAAAATTTGGAACTGGCGTCGGTATCTCTGCGATGGCTGTTGACGTTTGGCAGCAATCGGGGCCTCGTAGGGGAATTCTGGGATGTTTTTTTGAAACTGTGATGAAAATCTCGTTACCCGCTCTATGCCTTTCACTGCGTGTTATGGGTCATCTGATTATGAGATCTTTTGTTTATACTTACTGTAATATCGACAAATATTTTGCACATCAATAATGGATGTATACCATTTTGATGGATTTATCTTCGAATTATAATACAAACGTCACACTGCCGATTTCTTTATTTTATCAATGAATATGATGAATGGAGATATCTCTAATAATTAATTTGTTAATTTCCTATTGTCAAATTGGGAAATTATTATATTAGTGGAGTCAAGATACATTTTGACTTCGCGAAAATTACTGGAAGAGAGAATTTTTTATTTTTCGCTTTGTAAAGTTGTCAGAAACACCATATAAAAAGTTACCAACTGTAGAGTGTACGCTAAATTATTTATTTAACAAATTAGTAGTTGCAAAATTACAGTTACAAAAATATATATAAAAATTTAATTTAAAAAAATTAACTGCGCCATTCGAAAGAACAGGAAATTTTACATAAAAAATGTTAATAAAGTTTTTTTCTAAATTGCGAATTGAAGGCTGTAGAATTTTTTTTCCAAAGTACGAAAAATGAGACAGGCGGCCCCCAAGTATAGCTCTCGAAGAGCGCGCGGCCCCGAGCGCGCTACACTAAATTTGTTATAACTTTTGATCTAATTGATCAAATCGACCACACAAATATTTAAATGAAAGAAGTCATCCGGCTATCAAAATTTTATGTCTTTAAAGTTGAGAAAAAAAAATTATGTACGTATACAAAGCTACGTCATTCTATAATTTTGTACAATAATAATAAAATAGCTGTCATTCTTTTAATTTTGAAAATAAATTTCTGTAACTTTCACAGATTACTCTTCAAATGACAATGGAAACAGTGAGCGATATGGATAAAATCTTAAAATTTTAATTTGAAAAATATTGAGCGCAACATATTCAATAATTTTAAAAAATCACAAATTTTACTTTTTAGGCCATACTTTATAGATCAAAAACTATAGTTGTAAACGTTATATTGAAACTTTATGAGGGCACTTTTTATAGCTTAAAATCTTTAAGATAGTGCATTTTATTTTACTTAAAAAATTGAAATAATAGTTGAAAAAACAGAAAATAACAAAAAATAAAAATTTTTCAAGAAAAATCCGTGAAATTTATTGTTAAATAAAGTTTAATAATGTACAAAAAAATTTTTTTTTGTTTAATAAACCAATAAAGAATTAAGTTAAGACCTTAAGAAAAGTAAATCCAGCGAAAATTATTTTTTTTATTTATAGTAATAAAAATAGTGGAACATTGTTATAACAGCAAAAAAATAACGTTTTTTGATGAATTGATTTAATATTCATTTTTAAAACGTATATTCTGTATCTGAAATTGTGAAGTTCTCTTATTGATGTAGACACAGATATGAGTTTGGGTGACGAACGAAGCTAAGCAGTGAGCACACCAAATATTTTGTTGTTACTTATAGTTTTATTTATTTTAAAAGCGTTTTTCGTTTATAAGAATTAAATAATTATTATTATAAATGGTATGAGAATATGATTTTTATGTTTTCGAGTAAGCTGCAGTTATCAGTGTGTTAAAAAAATGTATTATTCACATATTTTGTCCATTTTGAGGTTATACTCTCGTACGCTTGTAATTCTTTAATGTAGTATTATTACTTAATATTACAAATAATCTTCAGTTTGCATTTAAGGTATTTATATTCGTTTTCTTTTATGCTGAACCTGTAAATGTATGAGTTTAATATTTATATATGAATATTGATCCATTTTTAAAATAATTAAAGAATAAATAAATAATAGGGGACGTTGATTTTGATTTTGAAATTTTGTATTTAAAATCAGTGTTTTTTTTTCAATTTTATTGGCTTAAAGTCTTAATTGCCCCGTTATTTTTGAAGAAGAGCAAGAACTCGATGAGATTTAAAAATTAATTATTTTGTAATAAATTTGTTTTTAAAAAATAAAACATATTTTCAATATAACCTCTTTAGCCATTTATAATTTTCATTTTTCGAACCTCTATTTTACAAATATGAGCGAGTTTGATTTAAAACCGATAATTAATTGTTAAATAAATTGCTTAAAATAGTCGGCCATATTGGATCAGCCATTTTGAGTTTTCATTTTCCGACTTCATATTCTTGTTCAGCGACATCGAAAACCCCTATATTGTCAATTTGAAAGAATTCGATTTAAAATTCATTGAATTTTTTTTAAATGCTCTTAAAAAACTATATATTATTGTTTAAACAATTAAAAAACAATTAGCGTACAAAAATAAGTTTATAACTTTTTTCTAATACTTATCTCAGTAATTTCAAAAGGTGTTAGGAAAATCGATGCTTCCCATAATTATTTCGAAATAATGCGTAATTTTAAGCTATCTTGACTCCACTATATTATATTTTAAAGATAAAATAAACCGACAGGAAATTAAATCTCTATAAACAAAAGGCTACTCAATACCTACTTTAGAATGTGTGTCTGGTATTACTTATCTGGAATATTATCGACTCTTAAGTATCTTAATTCATCAATCATATCGGCTTGCCGAACAATAGTCACCTAATGCAGTCACAAAAAGTTCACGACACTTAAATATTTAATTTCAAAACGAAGC